CTCCAACAAGCCGGGATCTCTGGTTCACTGTTCGAATGGGTCGAATCTTTCCTACAAAAAGATCACAGAAGGTTGTTTTGGAAGGAATCTCTTCATTACCAACAGAAGTAAGCTCTGGTCTACCGCAGGGCACTGTCCTGGGGCCATTGCTCTTTAAACTATACCTTACGTCAGGAATTGCATCACAAGTTAGGCTGTTAGCAGATTATTAATCCTGTACCGGGAAATAAAGACAAGGAATGATGTTCCTGATTTTAAAAAAAATGACATAAACACGCTCGGCAACTGGGAGTCATGTTGGCAGATAGAATTTAACATTGCAAAATCCTATACTATGCATATTACCCACATAAATAAACCTATGTTGTCAGCCTATATGATGAACGGAAAACCACTCGAGAAGACAAATAGTCATACTTACCTGGGAGTAGAAATAAGTCCTAAACTGAGCTGGGTTGATCATATAAGCTGTGTCACTTCAAAAGCAAACAAGATGCCTGGGTTACTCCGTAGAAATTTCTACAGCTGCTTTCCAAAGGTGAAAGATTGCCTACAAAACCCTTAGTTAGACCCAAACTGGAATATTGTGTTTTGGTCTGGTATCCGTATCATCAACATCACAAAAACAGGCGAGAAGCAGTCCAGCGGAGGGCGGCAAGATTTGTCGGCCAAAAATTTCGACCAAAAAGCAGTGTTTCCCCAATGACTCAAAATCTGGGATGGAAATCTCTGAAGGAGCGTGGAGCCGTCAATAGGCTCATTTTATTGTGTAAATCCATCCCTCGTAAAATAACAGTGGACATGGATTATATGCGGTTTAAGTCCGAAAGATAGGGGATTGCAACACGGATAACATATTCTGTTCCCTTTTCCCATCGATCAGCATAGAAAGACTGTTATAAATTCTCCTTCAGACCCAGGACCCTTGTGGAATGGAACCATTTGCCGGCTGAAATAAGGGAAGCTTCAAATACTCATACCTTCAGGATAAAACTTTCCAGTATTGATACATTATCATTGGTAAGAGGCACCCACCACATGTGTTAGAGTCAGCTAGTCACCACGCACCTGCAACTTAAAATATCCCGTAGTGGAGGTTGTTGCAGTACTTGAAAGAAGAAGGCTTGGGCCATTTTTGTGTCCGAACCGCCTAATTCATTTCAGTTTGTGTTGTCAGCCACTTTCTCGCCACACAGAAAACAACTTAATCCTAGCAATCTATTCAATTGACAGCCGCTGCCTAGGACTGCGAGCATGCATGCGTGTATAATCCCAGCTTTAATTCAATCAATATCTGTGGGTTATATATTTTCCGATCATTCTGCGACTGAATGTCGCTGTGCCCATTGTAAATGTGACTTTTCATTATTGGCCAACCATACGTGAAATACTTGTCGTCACAGTAATACACAGCACGCACAAAATGGCCGAGATTAGCCCGTAGAATAGTTTACAACCCAGGGAAAAAGAGGTTGGTGGGATTTTTCTGCCTTGGCAACGCGGCAAATGTCACTGTGTCAGAAGGCATACGGCGCACGATCTGTCTCAACACTTTGACTTTGTTCAGCTCCAACGGTCTCCGTCAATAGTCGGGTCCCGTGCGACTACCTCTTGACGGGAATTCCCCCATTGACAGCACTCGGTATAGCCTTCTCTTGACCCGTTTCCGCGCGCGAAAAGCAGAAAAAATTGTTGGCCTAATGATTTCATGATTAACATTCGGTTCATCCCAGCATTGTTGTCTTTGTGTGGTTTAAAAATAGCAAAACGACCAATGGACAGAGCAAGACGAACGGGATTTAGACATTTCCTGACTGAACCAAATATTCTTCAATAATGTACCAGACGTTTGGGGGGAATTTTAACTCAAGTAAGAAGATTCATACAAAATGATCCACAGTACTGACACCATATAGCACGTGACATTGATTGATTAATGCAATATGTTCATGGCATGGCTTTAAAGTTGGAATAACAACAACAAGGGACTCTGCCAGTGTTCGTTTACATTTAGGCTCTATACTTAATAGCTCTTTGAAATGCCCTAGATGTTATGGTAAACCGTCGGGGTTCTTGATACTTAGCTTCGTTTGACGACAGTCCAGAATCCGTCATTTATCAAGCACTTACACGCTGGATCGCACGCCAGCTGAAGTCTTTAAAATTCTAGTAAAAACATTTTGCCAACTGTTTGCCCGTACTTTTAGAAATCACAGATATACGCGCGAAACTGGCGGTCTTTGCGTTGGTCTACTCGCTTTGAGCAGAAACACCCCTTCATTTGTTGAAAAGAGCCGTTTTGATCAGGAGTGTTTGTTTTGTTTACGGTAGTGACGCGACCGTAACATGTGCATTTCATAATCGTTCGTGAACCAGCAAAGTGCAGTGCCGACCAGAGAAGCCTCTGTTGCTAGAAAAATTGCGCCGTCTCTTAGTCCAGCTGGTGCATAGTCCGTTACTGAAACGGGCTTCCAGGGCTACGGCTAGGTCTATTGTCTGCGCGTCTCCACGTATTTCCAATGGAGTGAAGGCCTAGACCTAGCTCTAGACAACAGATCCGGATGCAGTAGAGACTATTTTGAGCAGACGCCGTAATTGCGGTGGCACCGCACCCACACGTGCGTTCTAATTAAGCTTGACACTTTTGACAAATCGCGACACCCCCATTGGTCCAAGAGGCATGTAACGCGCGCGTACCGCCTCTTCACGAGCGTTGTACCGCCGCAGTAATGCCTTCTAATCATGGTTGCTGAGTTACCCTATACACAAGCACCATTTGCCCTCCTGGGCCCAATTTCACAGCCCTGCTTACCGCAGAATTCTGGACTTACGATCTCCATTCTGCGCTAGCCACGCAAGCAGAAAAATTCTGCTCTAACCCTTTAAGCGCAGAATACTTAGTTACGAGATATGCGCACAAGCGAAAATTCCTCGCTTACCCGTGAAATACGTTCGGTCCTAGCGCAGAATTTTCTGCTACAAACAGTAAGCGCCGATTTTTCTCTTGCGGTAAGCAGAGCCGTGAAATTGGGCCCTGTTGTGTACATGTATACCCGGCGCTGGGCCCTAGTCATCCCTTGCATTCCCCCCTCCCCCCCCCGGCTCCACCAAGCCTCCCCAGGATTGCACATTGCAAAGACCGCTAAGGCTTGGAAGCGAGGCAAGACGTAGAGAGAGGAAATTACTCGTTACTTGTTGACAAATCTATCAAGGAAAAATACTTCCCGACGCAGGATAGCCTTGAATAAGCCTTGACCGAGCCTGGAGAATGGTGTACTACTTTCTCGATTCCACTCACTGACCCCTTTGTGGTCCCAACGTGGCACGGGCTTCGTCGAATCTCAGGTTGATTTTTTTTCTTTTGTCCTGGCTCAAAATAACCCAGCTGGGATCATAAATAACACCAGCCACTTACCATGGCAGCGTCAAAGCAGGAGTTATTCCGCCAAGAGATTTTACTTTCAATCATTGTCTATAGCCTATAAAGCAGTCTTTACCAAAGTAACGTCTGTTTTCACAACTGGACGGACCTAACTGTGCTTGGTCAATGTCGGAGCAAAAAACGAAGGGATTTCTGGAGGAATTCGCGCTGATTTGACGTCGGACAGTGGTGACTCTCTTGTTAAACGTGAATTGACAAAAAATAAACAGTCATCAATAACGCGTTTCGTTTTTGACAACAAAAATTGTCAACGGCGGGGGGGGAGCTACATCGGTATCAGGGGATATATTACGTCTTTTAATTAAATATACACGTACAGGTATTTGAAATGCTCGAACAGTGCAAAATGCAGACCTGCTCAACATGCCGTAGTCCAGCCTAAGATCAGGCAATGCCACACTATAGATTACAATTTTAAATGAAGTGAAGGCTCATTGAAATACCCTTTACTCTATTGTGTGGTAATGCCTGACCTCAGGAAGGAGTACGGCATGTTGGCAGGTCTGACAATGGTAGGCCTACACTATCTGTCGCCATGTTAACCTGTGCGATGCGCTTCCTCAGCAGAACGTTTTGATGACCGAAAACCAAACCTTTTCTGAGAAACCCAATGACCTTTTGGCCTTTACTAGTGTGACCCTGGTTATTAGGAGTCGAAAAAATGGGAGAGGACACTCGGGCTAAGATTTCGTGATGTCGGTTTATTTCCGGAAAACGGGAAATGGAGAGGAAATATGTAAAAAGTCTTTCCTCGTCTTACGTCAGCATTCGAATAACCGTTACCGGTAATATTCACAAACTTTATCAAAAGAAATAAAACAAATGAAATCACAGTATAAACTGTTTATGTATAAACTAGTACACAAATAAATTGTAAAAATGGCGGCTTTTGGCGATTTCCCGCCAAACCGTATCTTAAGGCCGCCTTGAAATTTACACAAACTGAAGAAAAATCACTTCAAAACCAACAATAGAAGCAAAATGGGTGAAGTACAGGAATGGTACTGCAAGATCTACTGTGATTCAATAGTGGTTACTTTAAATCTAGTTAACTTAAAGATTACGAATAATTCAAAGACGGGTGTAAAGAAGGAAATGCTGTGAAATACTCACGACTTTGCAAATATTTCTCAGGAGCACAGCCTACGGACTGAATCCCACGTTAGCCTACTAGTAGATAAAGCTGTACAAAAGCAAATAATTATTAGATATGGAATATAAAAAAAATAACAAATTTACCTGGAAAACGGGAAATAGAGAGAAAATAAATAAGTCTTTCCTCGTCTCCGGTCAGCATTCGAGTAACGCTGACGAGGGTCCCGTTTATGTCGCCTATTCTGATTGGCGGATGGATTGTAATCATAAAAGAAGAAATTTAAATACAAAAGGGGTAACTTGGGCAACAACATTAAAAGGGGGGGGGGTCTTTTTTCAGTCCCGCGACAGTAGTCTTCCACTGTTCGAGGTGTGATTCCATTCACGATGTTTTAGGGTCCTCACCAGTGACTCTTTCTTTTTTTCCCAGTTTATAAATTACCCGTTTAATTTTGCGTCACAGTCACATCACAGGACCGATGGAACAAAAGGAGACGTCAAGACGGTGGAACAATACCTACAGGAGAACTTTCCCGAGAGATTCAACGAAACCCAGGATATTTTGCCCGGAATAGCAAACGACAGTCCCATTAACAACAGAGTCAGACTAGGAAGAGCTGGCAAATCCAGAGGTGAGTGCGAAATACGCGTGTAAATACGGGCTGGGGAAGACAGCCTTCAGGTATAGACCATAAAGTAGAAATACACTGGACAGCAAAAGAACTTGCCACTTCTGTCAAAGGCCACACATAAAAATTCACTCCGTAGAAATAAACAATTTTTGTACACAGGTATGCTGCAATACCCCTTACTAATCACATGTCCAAAAGCAAGTGATTATCTTTATAACAAAGAAGAAAACATGCACGGCAACTTGGTTACTGAATCAAAAGTCACACACAAAAGCACTCTCCACCAAGCAAAAATGACCCATGAATGGACAGCATTTTAAACAACCAATGACAAAGTGAACACCTGCTTTGTCAAAATGATGTGCATGAGTGGTTTATGTACATGTACAGGGATGCCATCCTCACTGATTGTGCATACACATTATTGAAAAGTAATGATTGCAACTTCTTTATTTCGTCCTGTGACATTTATTTCTGCGTAAAACTTACAGCTTATTCTGTTACATTCTGTGACTTTTGATTCAGTAACCAAGTTGCTGTGCATGTCAATTTCTTCTTTGTTATAAACATAATCACTTGTTTTTAGGTGTGTGATTAGTAAGGGGCATACCTGTGTACAAAAATTGTGTATTTCTATGGAGTGAATTTTTAAGTGTAACCTTTGACAGAAGTGGCAAGTTTCTTTTGCTGTCCAGTTTACTTTGCTTGTAGGCATTATCATTATAACAGGAATCTTATGTTTCCTGCGTTTTGAACCCCCAAATTGATCAACACCCTGTTGCTTTTGACAACTGAGGGCGCTGTTGCTGTGCAGTCATTTTTGGAACGCTGCTTTTGCGGTTTGGAGGTTAGGACCACGGACGTGTATAATAAAATCTGGACTCGCAATGCCCTTGATCAGCTTATAGAGATCATTGAATCCACTCACGGCCATTTTACCGAGCCGAATACAAAGCTTTTCTGGCAATGCCCGCCGTTTGTTCTTCCTGACGTCAATAGAAGGGAGCCGACCCACGCTTTTGTATTCGGCTCAGTAAAATGGCCGCTGGTTGGCTTCTTTTTCATACAAAGGCGTTGCAAGTCCAGGTTTTTTTTATATACGTCCGTGCTTTGGACCCAAAATGTAGCTCACCGAAAACATCTGGACGTGTATTTTGTTCATTGACTATTATGTATTAAATCAAAACAGGAAAATGACCGTATATCAACTTCTGCCAAATGGCAGTGTGTCGCCCTCCAGCGACCTTTAAATGTCAAATAAAACTGAAGTATGAAGGAAGAAACGGAAGCTGCGTGGCATACTGTAATTTATTAGAAACTTTGTAATGCAGGGGTGAGATTTCTCAGCTTTTTAGCTGATTTCAGCTTTTTTGTTTTGGATTTTTCCTCACTGGCTGGGTAAGAAAGGATAGGAGATGTTCACTGTTCAGCTTCTATGTGCCCTTTTTCAGCTGTTTCAGCTATTTTTATCATTTGTCAATCTCACCCCTGGTAACGTGCTCTTTAAGACAAACTCTCGAGCAAGAACTAGGATGAAGTGTCAGAATGTTATTGCAAAGGTTTCAATTCCTGAAGTGCGGAACAGAGATAAGACTGTTCAAGGATGGATGTTAATTAGAAATGATCCCTCATCCCAAACAGTATCCGACGAGTATAGTCCCATTTTTGGTTAAAGACGGTTTGGATGACCAGAATTGGGGGCCATTATGTCGAAAGCGCACCTTAAATGTCTCTTCGACTAACAGAGTGTATTGTCCTTTGCCAAAACACGTCTACGTCATAACTTTAATGCGCAAGTGTTGCGCAGTAGAGGGCGTCTAGCTGCGGCTTGAAATTACACACCAGTCTATGCTTCTGGCTGCAGCCACTTCTCCAAGAGTTGTGTGTAGTTCCAAGCCGCAGATAAGTAAGTCGTATACGGCCTTGTGGTCTCTATTAGGATTGTTTTAAAGCACAAATGACGAGATGTACTGTCATCTGACACTTTCGTAGTCAGAAACCTTTCTGACGATTTATTGGAATCAAACTTTCAGTTTTCTATGTAGGCCTATATGTTGCGTTACTGTACCGGGAAAGAGACTCGGACAGCCGGCTCATTTTGAGCTAGCACAGGTTCATGCAGTCCAAACAAAAAGAGTCCCAACGCGCATGAAAAACAGTGTTCAGTTTGACTAAAGGAAGTCCGGGACCAGTAGTGTATTTAACAAGTTTTTAATTCGAGTGTGACTTCATTTGAAAAGAAATACAGTTCTCCAAAGGAGTTTTCCTTAGCAGCTCCTGATATTAGCGAATACGGTGGGGAGCAACAAGGTCATTCCTAATGTCCGAAAAATAAGCGGCCTTTCTATATATCAGGAATCAGAAAGACGGTTGGAGGGAACTGTTTCCATGTCTTTCCTCCCCAAAGCACGTAAATAAAACCCAAATTAGCCCCACCCCCTTAGAAAGGCCATGAAGATTTAACTTTCAAATCTTTGAATAAGTCCCCTATACCGAAAGTTAGGTGCTGGGACCGCCCTTGGGTCACGATTAAGCCTGTGCCCGTAGGCCAGACCAAGACAGCAGGAATCCGGGCTACTTCTCTGTCACCACCCCGGGGAGCTCCGGACACGGCAGGAATGTTTCTTTCCAGAAGTCTAAAGTTACAGATATATTCATCTCCCGAAGATAGCAACTGATATATTTGTGCACATGCATCGCTCATTCATTGTGGTGTTTACTTTGTGAAAGTGATGAAAACATGTCGAGTCACCGCCCTCTTTGAGCTGAAAACGCCTAATTTTAGAGCGGTCATTTAGTAGATCTGTTAAACAGTATGATATGCCAACATTAATCAGTTGGTTATTTCTGTATGTAAGAGTGGCATCGTGGCCTTTCGAAATTGCAGGAAAATGATTTGTTATCAATAATGGCTATTAAACTATACGTGTGTTCCAGCAATTCCCAACTCTTATGGATTTTTAAATTTGTAAGAGACAGGCTAAAATCAGAAAGAGCGACTGCCTAGAGGTGAATTTAAATATAAGTAGCTTTATGCAAGATTACCAAAATGGTGGAGGTGTATGATTCAGGGTTACTGAAGGAGTCTTGGGACGGAAGAAGTTGCTGAGGCTTCCCATGCATGGTCTTCCGAAGCAAGCGTTGAACTCAGGAAGGTTGATGGCAGATCTGTGAACCCGAAATCGCCAAATATCTGGGATGCTTGCTCACCGACGAGTCGATGATTGGGGTGGCAGTGAGCGGTGGAACGCGCCAATCTAAACAGGTGAACTCGACAGCTGCAACCCTGCTGAAAAAGCCTGCACCCACCGCGGCAACACCTGGCGTGTGTGCTTTGTCCCCCGGCGCGGCAATTATTGCTTCACGTCGTTTTTGAGTGTCCAAAACTGCATCTCCAAATTCTCCATTGCCCAAAGGGTATTCCCCCGTGAAATATATAAATATACGCGCTTGGAGACAAATAAAAAAAACAACCCTGCCTCTTCGCTGAAGTTCAAATTCCCAGGTGTTAACTGTAAACCGCATGCATGCTACGTTCAGGGGTACTCTACATGCGATAGTTCTGAGTTATTTGGTGTGATTGAGCAATTCAGTTGAGATACATAATAAAGTGGAAGACCTGAAGCAGACTTAGAATAAATTGACGATATCAGTTACGAAATAGAGAAAACAGCAAAAGAAAGTATTAGGGTAAGTCAAACGAGCAATTCATGTTCATGTACTCGTGTGGATACAAATGAAATTACGTGCAACGAATACAAACTGCATAAATGTGATCTGTGTACTGTTTCCGCGCACGTGCACATCTTCGAAGGGAAATCTCGGGTGGTGACGTGGTGAGGTCGAGAAGACATAAAAATGTCCTCGAGTCGAATTTATGGCCATTGGGTTCACATCATAGCGTTGATGCCTTGTGGACAGTGATTGATGTGGTCGATGTACGCTGACAGATTGTAGCGTTTGCTGGAAATAGTTGGTAGGTCCTGTTCCTATTTTTAAGGACCCCATCTGCACATGAAATTCGCCAAGAATGTGCAGATCACTTCGGAGAACTACACGCTCGGAGGTGGGTATTCACTCCCGGTTTGGAATCCGTATTCACATTTGACGGAAGAGGGCACAGGTAAATTCTGTATGTGAGATAGCTTTTAATTTATTTTCTACCAAAATAAAGCGCGTTTTTTATTTCACAATTCGTTTTGGTGTTAAATTGCGTCGGAGGCACGCAGTCAACATGCTGAAGTGAAATGAGTCGCAATGAAGATCTGTTTTTCGTATGAAGTGCATCAAATGCCTTACGTAAAACCAAACAGAACAGAACGTAGCTGTTCGAAAAAAATGAGGGCACCCAAACCATGACAGATGGTTTTCATCCCATTAAGGGCATTTGCCCTTGCTATATTCGATTCCATGCATTAGGTAATTAAGGATTCTGACTATAGAATCATCAATGATGGCCATTAACATTGCTAAGATATCTGACAGAGGTCATTCTCGGCATCCAGCCGTGAGAATTCTACCATTGTCGCTAACACTAAACGAAAAGTTAACTTAAAACCGGCGTTACTTGTGCCGCATTTTTATAATCAGTTCAGTTCCATTTGTCATAGACGAAAACGTAATTTGATTTCCTGGTCACAATCATCATTTAGCGTCACAATAAGATCCGTATAAATATTTTTAGATAAATCGGTTAAGAAACCACATAAAAATAAACACACGTGTCCAAACTACTAGCTTTTATCTAGATGGTAACCAAAAAACATTAATGCAATCACACACTAATAAAGGACTGCTATTAAGAGACACACGCGAGTCCTACCGGGGCCCATAACTTTTGTTTTGTATAAGGGAGGGAGCCTACTGCTGGGAAGTTGGGGTTAAACTATACCAGGGTGAAACGCTGATGTTAAATCCAGGTACGTGGTGTTCGATTCGCTCAGTATCTGTATCCATTACTCCGTATTCATGAGACATTTACACCAGAACCCCCTTTTTTA